CTTTTCCTTCCATCTGCAGAACAAACCATTGACATGAGCTTCCCAGGAGCTGGGCTGCTGGTGTCATCCTGCCAGTACACCATGGTGCCACTGAGAGGCATCTCTGCTCCTCGTGCCAATGGACATCCCTTTGTTAATGGGCAGCCCTATGCCAGCAGGGCACATCTGAATGGCATCTGTGCCTCTGCAGGAGTGGGGTACACAAGCACCAAGCCCCGAGATTACAGCCCAGATGAAGTGCCACAGGTGAGCCTACACCTGGGATCAGGAGCTGGTTTGTCATGAGCTGGAAGCCACACTTGCAGTGAGAGGGCTTCTCCAGATGTGGCTGGCACACTTTGCAGCGTGTAGAAGTGGCAAGGCTGGCTTCCCAAGAGATTTCTCCTTTGTAGTAAAGTCAGACATGTGGGGAACAGGAAGGTCTCCAAAACACTGGTGATAGGGTGTTTTCTTGAGCCTCTTAAGCATGGAGGAGGCAGTGAGAAAAGGCAACTCTCATGGGAACGGTTCCTGTGTCCCCTGAGCAAAGGTCACAGGGACTGACAGCGCTGAGGACTCTGTAAAAGGGTAACAGGCAGTGCCAGAGCTGAGACTGTAAATTGCTTATCCCCCACTCGTTCAGCACTAAGTGTAAAGTGAGTTTTTCAGTGCTCAGTTCCACTGCCCTCAGTAGCAAAAGAAAGAGCTTCATCTTCTGCCTTCTGCTGTAAGAGCTTCAGCAGTCTGCCCCAGAGCTCTGACTCAGATCAGCATCTGTCTCTTAATGCTGCTGTGTGCCATTGCTCTGCTAAGACTCCTTCTCTCTCCTTCCAGTCACAGGAGGAGACCAACGCCTTGCTGCAGGCAAGAGTGCTGCAGAATGGGAGTGCCCAGCAAGACTACCAGCCCTCCAGGTTAGTCCTGGTGTGTGGAGAGGGAGGGTGGAACAATCCACTGGGACCCACATGCTCACAAAAGCCTGCCCTCAATACACTCCTATCTGTCCCAACTCTTGGGAAACAAATCCATCTCCCAGCACTAGGGCACCTTGGTCTAAATTCTCTTCACACAACTCATTCCTCTTAGGATTTCAGGAAGGAATAATTTAATTGTAAAGGTGGCCAAGACCTATTCCCCTCCATCCCCTTTTCCTCCTCCTGTTTCTAAGTGGGAGACTGAAAAGCAGGATGAGAGAAGCAAACATCTGTGATTGATGCTGATAAAGAGCTGCCCCAGAATCTGCCCACTGTCCAGTTGTGAGTGCTTAGTGTCTCACTGTTCAGACATCTTCATTACCATGCTTTCTGTGAGGTACTATTCCTTCTGGTTCCTGTGGCACTCATGAGCTGTTGGATCATGGATATCAGGTCCCACATCACCTCATTCCCATCCCACAAGTATATCCCTGTTTCTGCGCTTCCCCTCATTTAGGAATGTTCTGTGTCACAGCATTGATGAGCTGGCTGAGACATGACACAAGTTATATCTTTCAAGGAGGAAAGATCTGGTAAACAGCCCTAAACCTCTCTGCCTGCTTCCCCAGATTGCCCAGCTCCAGAACAGAAGACAGCTCTTTCCTCTACAGTCTCCCAGATGACTCCACTCACCAGCTTCTTCAGCCACAAGATGACTGTCCTCACCTTCAAGAGCACTTTGTTGGCCTCCATCATCCAGTGATGGGAAGCAAAGTAGGAGGCCCTAGCCTGGATGCTCGACAGGATACCCTCTTCCACCAAGGTCAGTGGTTTGAAAAACTCCCTGCCTCCATCTCATCATTTTAGGCTGCTCTTGAAGGGAGATCTCACTGCAGAGCCTTTCTGATAGCTCATGTTCAAGTGATGTGAATCCATCTCCCTAGGACCTAATCCATTGATCCACCCCTGTAGTGCAGGTCAGACTTGTTTTGTGTGATCATGGCATCAAATTCCCACACACACTTTCAGAATGCAGATCTTCCTCTTTGATCAGAGTCTCCCCCCTCCCCCCCCATAAAGTGAGCTATTGACTTGAAATCTCCCACAGCATCTCTCATTCCAGTGTGCACTGGATTAATTTCTTGCTCCTTTCTCCCTCAGGAAGCCCATGCTGCTTAGGCCTAGTGCCAGTTGAAGAGGTAGAAAGACTAGACTGCTGCCAGTCCAGAGGAGATCTCCATGCCCAGAATCCAGCGATCACATCTTTGGGTCAGGACCTACCAAGACACCTGAACAGCAGTCCTCCACCACTGAGACCATTAGAGACTCATCCTCCCACCAGCTAGGGACCAAGCTGCCTTTTGCAAAAGACTTATTCTAAAGAGAGAAAGATAAAGGGTATTTATTTTTGTATAACATCCCTATTTATATATTTATGCACTTGTATATAGATGTATATGTGCCTTTTATAATGCTATGGAGACAGAAGGCATCCTCAGCAAGGTCACAGGAAACAAGGCAACAGCTCTCAGTGGCAGCATCAGAGCACACAGTGGAGACAGCTGGACAAGGGACACGGCGGGACATGCGTCCAAACAGAGCTGCCACCACCCTCTTGCAGCCTAGAGGGCTTCACAACAAATAATGCTGTCCAAAAGGTCTTTTCCTCTCCCCACCCAGGAAGGTTTGTTCCATGAACACTCTCCTGTGAATGGACTGGAGTTATGCACTCTGCCTGATCAACTTAAACAACCTTTCACATACACGCCATCTGCAGCCGCCTATCTGTAAAGACAAATCCACGCTTTAACATCTAAAATAAAGGCTTTAGTCTTTGCTGTGCCTGGCTTTATGCTAATTCCTCATACATAATTAGCCTTCTCTTTCTTTTACACTTGCAGACGTACAGCAAGCAGGACACCTGGGGAAAGGTGACACTTCCCTGCAGTTAGAATTTTCCAAATAGTCATTGGTGACACTTAGTCTGGGGTCTTCTTGTTCCCTGGCTCCAGCTGAGCCTCTGGCTGTCTGCTTACCCAACTGCCACTGGATGTCCTTGCTCTTTGTTAGGCAAGGGATTTGGTGCCAGTTCACAGCCCCTCTCCTGGGGCTCCAGCCATTTCCCACCTCCCAGGGCACAACCTGCAGCTGCACAAGAGCTCCCAGCACCAGGTGTGTTCCTCAGCAAGGACCCCCTGTAAAGGCAGCCTGCACAAGCACCGTTCACAGGCTTGTGCTGGGACCAGCAGGAAGTTCTTGTGCCCTGCTGAGCACAAAGACCTGTGGCAAGAGGTGGGGAGTGGGGAGCAACAGCAAGAGCAGCTGGAGATTGTTTAATTTATTCAATTAAAAATTAGCACCTCAAGAGCCTTGCATGGGGAGAACACAACCCCCTCCACCCTGAGGCTGAAGGAAGATTTTAAAGTCAAGACAGGGTAAGTGCTGCAAATGATCACATGCTCCCACCACACCAAATGAGAGGCAAAAAAGAACAACACCTGAAAACACACAGAGCTTGGCCCTCTCACTGATCAGGCCAGTGGAATTACAGGCTGACTTTGCACTGTTACATCCTCCTCCTGGCTAGGTAAATGCTACATCCTGCCCTGAGGAGAAAGCCCCCTTTGCTTTCTCCTGGCCAGCAGGGCCACTGCCAATGCTTGCTTGAGGCAGACTAATTTCACCATTTTTGAGAACAAGGTACCAAACTAATATTTGCTGCTGTGAAACTTCAAATCAGCTTTCAACAGCCACTTGTTTGAAGAGTAGACAGCCATAATGCACACACGTGGACACACAGAGGGCACCTTGTCCAGTACAACCCTCTGCAATGGACTGATAACAGTATTTAGTAGTTTCATTTGCTATTTTTTATTCCATATATGTTACAGTCATGTTTTGATAGAAAAAACAAATGTAACCCCTTACAACTAAACCCCTGGATAGCCAAAACCAATTAATTTTGCACCTCCAAGCATGACTGCTGCCACAGTTAATTTTAAGGGTGACTTGGATTGTTAGTGACTATTTCTGAAGAGGAAGTTGGAGTCTCAGAGTCCTGTGGTAAGAGGCGCCCACCTTTTCTCCTAAGGGAAGCGAGTTCTTTTACGTCCAGTCTATTCTGGCTGATTGCCTGTCTCAGAAAGGCCACCTCACAAGTTATCTGTGTGAGCTGTGACTCCAGCCTGGCTGTCTCTTTGGTGTCAGCATTTTGGGTGCTCTCAAATTCTCCACCCTGTAAAGGAAAAAAATGGCTCCTATAAAACATGGAGAATGAACAGTGGAAATTTATTTCAAGTAGGTAAAGTGAAGCTTTCCAAGAGCCAGGACATATCCATGACTTCTCCACCTTAGTCTGAAGTATGTGGAAGACTGAAGGTTCACTAACTTAGACTTACTTCATGGTACAGAGCAGTAAATCAGCTTCTCGTTGTAATGCTGTTACATGACAGTAATATGCCTGTTTCCATGTAACAAAGGAATATTCTTTTCATTCCTTCAAGGCATATTTTAATTAGAAATGAGTTTGTTTCAGTCCTAGAAAGCAGCTAAGAAATAGCAGAGGTGCTAAGGTATGAAGCAATCATTCATCCTGTCCCACTCCTAGCCTAAACTGCTGACTGCAGAGCAGGATGTGAGACCAGGGAACTGGTGAGGGCCAGATGATCCCTTACCCATTTCTGAACAGTCCCAAACCTAAAAGGCTAAAAGGCTCACCTGACCAGTTGTCAGTGATTCCAGCTCAGTTTCGAGCTGATGCTTTTCATGGCAAAACCTGTTCATCTGGTGCAGCTTGCTGGTGTTTTCCCTTGTCAGCTTCGCTAGCTGATGCTGCAGGACTACAATTCTTTCCTAGAAAGGTGTAAAAAGTTGATGTGGGATGAGAGAGCACAAAAAGCGTGGAGTGGGGAAGAAGCAGTAGGCACAATGTAAATGTCACAAGTAAACAGCAGACTGATCCTGTCACACCACCTGATCCCACAGTACCTTTAATGCAATCTCATCTTCTTGTTTTTAATATATTTAAATTACAAATGCCTAAGTAAAAAGTTAGGCAAAAGTGTGGGAAAAAGAAAGTTCTTCTGTAAGGGCAGCATAAGCACGTTACCTGCTTGCACCACAGCAGCTGAGCCTTGGGCCCCGCCAAATGGAGACATGAAGTTTTCAGACTGCACAGATTGGCACCCCAGGCATGAGCCACAGCCTGCCCTGTACTCACTTTGTCACCAAAGGCACTGAGAGAGGGCAGGAGGTGCTGAATGCCACCTGAGAACCAGAGAAAAGCACTCCACAAGAGCTCCACGTAGGGAATGAAGTAGGACAATGTGTTTGAAGAAAGCAAAACAGAGATCAACTACCTCTGTGAAAAATAGGATGTGCACCAGCAACTGGAGCAGAGGTAGGAATGATGATGGGAAATTGCAGTGGAACACTGTGGTCTATTACGGACAAGTGAAAAAAATCAAACATGAACATGTTCACATAAGATTTCAGTGTGACTTTACAGCCCCCCAGGGAAACTTAGGGTTAAGAGATCATCACGTGTCTCCCTCCTCTTCCTGCTGCTTACCTCCCATTCTTTGAGCTCCACAAAATGCTCATACTCCTTCTCCATTATTCTCACTTTCATCTGCTCCATGGGTATATTAACAGAGTGGGCTTGAACTGCTTCAAAATCAACCAGCCGACCAAACTTCTCCATCATCAGAAGATTGCACCTCTCCTCCAGTTCTAACAGAGGGACATTGGCACAAATGGCAGCACTGTCATTCATGGGTTTAGAGGAATTTCTGCCTTACCCCAGCTTTTTGTCTGAGCTTCTTGGTATTTGCTGTGTAATAAAAAATTCACACAAAACCACACAGAGCTCACAGCTGAGTCATACCATTTGTCTTTGCTCATGATCATCCTTGTGTGGTCACTAAGCCACACTCTAAACCAGTCCTAGTAAGCCCATCTCACACCACAGGCTCTATAGGGCCTCTGCATGTCTAGTGGTGCTTGACACAGCTTTAGGTTTGGCTCTTTGGGAAGTGTTTTGAATAGGGCTTATTTCCTTCTTCAGATGTTACAAAGGGGAGGAAATGGCCAGAAAAAGCTACTTTTTCCCTAGGAGTTCTGGTTTACAAGCAGAAATAGCAAATGTGTCCAGACTTCCAGTGACTCCTCTCAATCGGCTCTCCCTATACTAAGTTCCCAAATTATGTTGCACAGCCTGATGACTCTGCAGTGCTGGAGAACTGCTATTCCATCAAAACAGTCCACTTGATCTGTTCTATTTTCTGAAGTAACCCTCTGTAACATCTGTGTGAGTATGGAGACAGGCATGGTGAGTTACCCACACCCAGTGAGAGGGACAGAAGGAACATTAGCAATGCTGAGTTGCTCAGAGTCTCTGTCACTCACGTTGAATCTCCATCTCCATCTCCTTTTTGTCCTGGAGAAGCTGCTTATGTTGCTCCTTGGCCTTCTTATGGGTCTCTCTTTGCATTATCTTTTCATTACGTAGGTCCACAATTCTCTTCTTCAGGTACTGCAAGGACTCGTTGGTAAATACTAAAGTATGGGAGAAGTCACGGGGCATCTCCCCATCAACCAAGCACTGCACCTGCAAAAGCAGACAGAAAAATAAGCAAGGCTGGCTTTACTTATGGAGATGGAGATGTCTCTATAACAAATGTGTGAGCAATAGAGAACAAGTGAGTGAGTTAATACTAAGCATGGGCACAACTCTTTTTTTGGGCCAGGGAATTGTGTGAATTAATGTATTGCATCCAAGCTGGAACTATTCAGTTGGGCAGAATTCCCATTAGTTTCAATAGTTTTCAGGGCTTTTTTGATTTGTTTTCCTTGGGGGGGGGTGTGGTTTTATTTTTTCCCCCAGGAGAATATCAGTAGGTATAGACCTGATGGCCAAACTTATACAGCAGTTAAAGACTATACACATTTCAGCAATGGGCCAGCCTGCCTGTCCTTACCTCGTTTCTATCAGTACAGGAGAAGGGGAAAAAATGGGAATTCTAGAGGAATTAGCAGCATGAAGTTCAGTTAACAGCACTTCCCTCCCAGGAAACCATAGTGAATCATGAACTAAGGGCCCCAAAGAACAGTAACACCATTGTTTAGATGTACACAGGCCACTGCACATGCAGATGCACAACATCTTGAATTACCTGATGGAGTCTCAAAGGCACAACTACATACAGCTCATTCAGCCTGTGCAGCTTTTCCCACTGAAAGGCCTCCAGTTCCCTGTTTGCTGTGTCCAGACTGGTATCTACTTCTTTTGCCTGCAGAAAGACAAATTATGGACAAACAAAATCCTGTGATACTGAGAATACATAAGGCAACAAGGTTCTGTTAGAGTTCCTGATCCAAAGAGAAAGAAGTATATAAAAATATGTTTTTTTTTAAACTACATATGATAGGTGAGTTTCACAGGAAAACCCAATGATCATCTACAAATATTCAAGCAAGATTCTAACCTGAAAACCTCTGCACACACATACACTCATGAATGTCTCCTTCGAGAAGCCCTGTATGTATCATGAGACAGCTGCTTTGTTTAGCGTCTAAAAACACTTGTAGATCTACAGAGCCTGCAAGATAATTTTTATTGTGTTATGCCTGGAAATGCTTATTGATTCTGCATGAGAAAGAAACAATTCAGACTCAAATGTCATACCCCAGGGTGAATATGTGGCAGCTGGCACTTAGGAAAGCCTTTAAAATCTAAAAAATGTTGTATGTTAAGCACGCTTGATGGAACATTTTTGAGACAAAAAAAGTGCAAGACTTGCATAATGTTATTTTGGTACCACTCTCTCTCTTCCAGATAACCCCTCAAAATAAAATATTTTTTAATTAATACAAATCAAATTTCTTAATGAATGCAGGAGTTCAAAAAAGCAAAATGGAAAATTTGTACCAAAAGAGTTTATTCAGTGATTACCTGTGACAAAGAGTGATGGAAAATAAAGCAAAATAAATAGATGGTAGAATAGAATTTTTATGCATTTATTTTAACCTGGATTTGCATTAGGGAGAGTATTATTCAATTGCTGTTGCCATACACACCCACAGAGGACAGGCCAGACCATACTGCATGTTTCATCTGAACCAGAGAATCCAGTTCCTGCTGCTGCACAAGGCTAGACAGCTGGGAAGGAACTGCACCGAGAGCCTGGATCCAGCCCCATGAAAGCTAAGGTTGGATCGACTTGATTTACCCTTTTCAGGAGAACAGGTGACCCATGTCGAGCTGCCTCCTGCCTCTGTGCTACCACAGGTATCACTTCCCAAATGGACACCTCTCCGAGGGTTAGGATTTTGTCTTTAAATCTTAGACTAGCACTAATCACTAGCACTACATTTAACATGATGATGCTTTCTGAGAAAACAGTACAATACCTTTAAGGCCAAGGCATTATATTCCTTTTTGAGGTCAGCAGCAACTTTCTTCTCCTCTTCTAAAGCTTTCTCAATGCCTATCCGCTGCTGCCGGAGCTGGATGGTGTTCAGGAACAGATCCTCACTGCAGCCTGAGAGGGAAAGGGTCAAAGAAGAGCTTACTTTTGCTGTGACTGTACTGGAGTTACTGGGTAGAGCTGGTACCTTCTCCTGCAGTGCACATTCCCAGCATTCTCCATAATAACACCATGGGTTTGGTTCCCTAGAGCTTCCTTAAGCATAAACCCATGGGCCTCCATGACCAGGTGAATGTCTTGGATGGATTTTTTTCTTATTTACATTCAGTCTGTTTCCAGAAGTCACATTAAATGCATCAAAGCCAGCATTAAAGCCAAGTGCTCAAAAATTAGCTTTTGTAAGCAATGCAATCCCAGTAATTAATACATGTTGCAGTAAAATCTTCAATTATGTGAGCACATAGTTGTTTCTCCATAGCACCCTTCACTATAAATTATGAACTTGCTGCAGGGATAATTTATAGCTCTATTGGTAAACAAAGCTGTATTGCATAGAAACTGTGTTGTGGTAAGGAAGATCTGTGAATTTCTATCTAATACTGTGATTTCAGTAATGCCAAACAAGTGCATAATTATGCCCAAATCAGCAGGCATAATAATAAAAAAGAGAGCCCAATAAAGAAAAAAAAATTCTACATAAAGAGACAAATATGAAGAGCCTAATGCAACATGTAATTTCCTTGTTAAATTAGCAATTTGGACTTTTTAACTCAGAAGTAAAAATCTTTATTTCTTCCCAACATTCCATTGAGAAATGAGATGAACGAGGAGTTAATAAAAAAAAATCAATTTGTGGAAATGATTTCAAAATACAATTTAAAAAAAAAAGGGAAGGTGGATTTTTGGTACGTTCAAACTTGAAAATGAAGCAGTGCTGTTACACTGTCATTGACACATCACTCAGAGATTTTTTTAAATAACAACATCCTGAATTAGCTAAGCTCGTACAAAGGAAAAAAGAGGGAGAAAGGTTGGTTGCCTCTTTTGAATGCACAAATGAAGAGGATTTTGCAAAGTAAAGCTCCTAACTTTTCAGAGCAGCCTAGCAACAGGCAATTGCTGCATAAATCCACGAGGTGGTAACAAAGAGCTTCAACTAACAGCATGAGGATCCCCTTAGAATTTCCCTGAACAGGGAGGGATCCAGCCAGGCCAGGCAGCTGGTTTCCAGAGAGCAGCTACAGCCTTGTCACTGCTCCACCCCAGAGAGGAGCCTTTTCTCTCCAGATAACAGCCATGAAATGGTGAATGCTTCTTTACACAAAATAATTAATTCTTACTGCTTAGCTAAGTTTTATTTCTCCAAACTTTTTTAATTAGGGTAGTCTACACTACCAACTGTTTTATTATTTTGACCAAAGTTTCCTGGGGAAAAATGCTGCACACAGGAGGGGTACACACATTCCAGCCCTTCATGACTTTAGCATGCAGTGAATAATTAAAAAATCTGTGTTTTCTTTTCAAACACATGATGTTGTCCCAAAGCTAAACAACTAATTAACACAAGGAAATAACATAAAAGTAAGCATAGGTACCCTCTGGGCAAATGGAGTCACCAAAGGCTACATTTTCAGATCCACAATTTTCTTCATCAGTCTTTAAGTCAGGTTTTTCATCATCCTTCTCTTCATTCTCATTTTCTTTATCTGAAAGAAATAGACACTGGCTTGCAAAACAGCCCAGACCCACCAGCTATGCATTATGCCAATGTGCTGGTGAACATAATCCCAGTAACCCATGAAACATCATTCTGGTGCCATGTTTTTAGGACTTAACTTCAATATATTTTCTCTCTTTATATGTGTTAGGAACTTAAGCAGTGTGAATTTACCATTCTGATACAGAGATTAATTAACCAAGTAGAATATGGAAGCACAAATCTGTCATAAAAGCACCATCATTGTCTTCACTTTTTGGTAATCATGTCCCACTTGAAATCGAAAGCCAAGTCAGAGAGAGCACAAGTATTTTAGCTCAGTAAGACTGCCTAGCTTTAACAGCTTAAAACTGAGTCACTAAGACAAATTAAATCCTTTTGTAATATGGTTAGTCCTGTGACTAATAGATTATTGCAGAT